TTAATGACATTCAGTTTTTCAATAAAATCGGGTCAATACTAGTGTATATGAAGAGATAGTATACAGAGATAGATGTACATGTACTGTATATTTATCACTGATTCTCAGGCAATCAACCAAACAATTGTCGCACAAACTTTGTATTTAATATATTTTTTCCACTTTTAATATACGATAAAATAAAAGTGAAATTAAGAGATTATATATTTTAGATAATATTATTTAAACATTTATATCATTTATTATGTTTAACAAGTGTGAATATTTAATGTAATTGTGTTTTGAAATTGTACTAAAAAGATATCATTAAGAATGAGACTAGACTTTCTGTGATCTCTCGATCTCTCTCTCTCTCTCTCTCTCTCTCTCTCTCTCTCTCTCTCTCTCTCTCTCTCTCTCTCTCCCATATCAGCACAGAATCCGTTTAGTAACACTGGGATTAAAAATGAATTTCAAAATTGTCAATATATTTATCATAATTTCACGGATTATATTCTCTATAGTTAATTCATATATGCAGTAAATATAGCGCTTTATTTCAATATCATTTAAATCTGTTAAACCTATTTAGTTTTAAAATAAAGAGTACATATTGTCATATATGCATGTGATTTACTAATCTATAAGATTGTACTTTATTATATGTACGATAAAATAAACTATTAAGCCTAATCTACATAAATATTTATTTATACTGTAGTACTGTATCATCTTATTCTATCCAGTGGATACTATCCACAATACAGCATATTTATGTTTCAATAAAATCGAAATTATTTAAATTAAGTTAATATTTATTAAAACAATTAAAAATAATACAATGGTAAATTTCTTATTATGGTTTGAGTTAATATGATTTGTTCGGTAATATTAATTAGCAAAATATATACAGAAAAATAGATTCATGGATAATTATAAATAACTATAAAAATAAAATAAATAAAATAATAATTATATGAAAACTACTCTATCTCTTTCTGGATTTCAGCAACAATGCAATGAATGCAAAAACTCTAATACAGACAATGAGCACCAGTAATATAAATAGATCTAGGGCGAAGTGGTCTTCGTTGAAACTTAGATTATTGATCACTACTTTGCCATTTGGTATACAAGAAGTGTTCGCTCCGGGAATCGCTGGACAGTCGATGTGATCGATGTCTCGCCACTGATTGATGACCAGAGCTTCGTTGCCGTAATAAANGGTATACAAGAAGTGTTCGCTCCGGGAATCGCTGGACAGTCGATGTGATCGATGTCTCGCCACTGATTGATGACCAGAGCTTCGTTGCCGTAATAAAACCATGATATATATTTAATCCACCCTAACCAAACCGGTGTTGATCTAGTTTAACATAAAAATGATCATGATTAGTTTAAATAAATTTCAATTCACTGTTAATAGAGTACTTACTCTGTATTAATAAAAAATCCTCCAAATATCATGAGTGGTAGCATTAGTGGTGGCGCTATCGATAGGGCCATCGTTACATTGCTGCTTATACACGACACAAAATACCCTGTAAACAATTAAATCAATTATTATCAAGGTAAATATTTTTATAAATTGTAACATATTATATGAATCTACATATAGATAGATAGAAATTACCAAAACTAGTGGACGCGTGAGCGACTAAAACACACGCGAGTATGCATAACAATACTTGTTCGGCACCGCTATTCAGACCAACCATGTAGTAAAATATCACCACAAATATTATGGGCACAAATGTAAATGATGGAAACTGTGATATGGGCAATTAAGTTTTAAATTTATTACTATTATTGTTATATAACCATATTTTATAACAAACCTCTGCCAACTGTTTGGCCAAGAAATATGTGCTAACTCTATACATGCCATTTTCATGCTCTCTATGATAAACAGGTAATTCACCGCAAAATGTCTGCAAATTTAATATGATATTAATTAGTGGTCAAGTAATTGATGTGCAAAACAAATTATTAATTACATTAACCACACCGAAAAGACTCTGAAAATTCATATTTGTAACCAATAGAAAGAGAGCGCCGTTTATATCCATTATTCCCTTTTGATCCATATTTAATTGCCAATAGATTGCACCGAATACAAGAGACATCATCTGGGTAGATTTAAGATGCAACAAAATTAACATGCTTAAAATTTATATTGTCATGTAAATTATATTATCGTACAATTGTCTGAATTATTCGGACAGTTGTCAGCAATGGTTCCCTCATAGCTGTCAGATTTGATCTCCAGAGTAGTGCCCAAAACTGTTTAAACCAATTGGCTTTATATCCGGAATTTGATGAATTGTTATTAAATATTAAGTTATCATGTTTTTCGTGCATTTCCTGCGGTAGGGCTTCCCTCTCATAAGTGCTATTTTTATAACCATCGCATATTTTCTGTTAAAAAAAATAGTTTTATTAATTATTATAGTTATAAAAATTGCATATAAATTTACAAACCGTTATTTTCTTTTTAGTTTCAACTTCATTGCCAGGAATTACAGCCAATTGGTTGATGTAAAAATCAGCAGGGTTATAATTGTTGGGACAGACCAGGTCTAAACTGGCAAAATATTCAATGGCTTTCTCTGTTTAAAAATAAAAACATATAATTTATATTATAATTATTAATTAATGACAATAATTATAAAACTCATAATATTATAAACTAAATAATGAAAACTAAATTACCGGCTCTGCCTAAGAAGGCTACCCTTCCCTCTGCCATAAGCAACAACTGGTCGATCATTGCGAAGGCTTGAGACGAGGGCTGATGTATTGTGCATATGATTGTACGCCCGGCAGAAGCCATGTCTTTCATCACTTCCATTATATTCATTGCCATAAATGAGTCCAATCCAGAGGTCGGCTCATCGCAAAACATCACCGATGGATCCGTTAGTAACTAAATATAAAATCAATTTTAATTATAAATAAACAAAAAATTATTGCATAAATTGTGGTAATAATTACCTCCGAAGCGAACGACAATCTCTTTCTCTCTCCACCAGAGATGCCTTTTTCCACTTCCGGGGCTCCGATGCGAGTGTCCGCACATTTACTTAAACCCAACTGATTGTCATTCAAATAAAACATTATTAATATAATTCACAAAATTAATTATTCCCAAAAAATAAGTCTTACATCCAATAAAACCTCTTCAATACGATTGTCTCTAAACTGTTTAGAGAGTGTCTGATCCATACGGAGCTGGGATTGAAACCACAAGTGCTCTCTAACAGTGATGTTTGCGATGAACACGTCGTCCTGTTGTACGTAAGCGGACATCGATTTCATTAGGTTTCGATCCATTGGTTTGCCGTTCATTTTGACCGAACCCTCGACCGTAACCTCCGATAGATTTCGTTGCGTTAATGTATTCATTAGTGTTGTCTTTCCGGCGCCACTAATGTTTGTAATTTACAAAATTCATTAATGTAAATATTAATCAATATACATAAATATAATTTAAAACATACCTAGATCCCATAATAGCCAATAGCTGTCCACTATTAGCCCGACCGGTAACTTTAGAAAAAAGTAATTTTACAATTAATTAAGATGGTTTAAGTTTGAAAATGATGTATAAATACCATTCTTGAGTATATGAACAGTTGGATTGTCTTTCTTCTTCTTAAATGGCAGTGATATTCCTCCGGAGGGTTTGCTGAAGACATCGATGTTATGCCACGAAATGGACACCGGATTCGATACTTTGCTTATTTGACGATTCATTGCAATCTTATGGTCTGTATTTGCAATAAAGTTATTGTCAATTCCGTGTATATTATCATTATATTTACAACAAACCATTATTCTGGGGGTAAAAACCAAAGTTATTGTCCACTCTTTTATCCAATTCTCCATTCATTTTCATTTTTTAAAAACAATGATTTTTCAATAATAAGAAAACATAAAAACTTTTTTATTTAATTGAGTTTTAAGAGAATAAATCAATTCTTTATATACATGTATTTACAATAATAAAAATAGGTGTAAGACAATTGATATAAAACCAATTTGACGTCATTTTTACCATCATATCTTTTCGCTGTTAAAATAATCCAAAAATCTTTACTAATAATGCAATACATAGTTAATAATAGTGGGTTTTATCACGTTTACATAGCTATTATCTAATTCATTATTTATATAATGGTAGGTATATATACTAAACATACAGTATTATGTAATAACTAAACTTATTTTAGTGCATAAAAGATGCAATTTTAACATTAGTTCAGTAATAATCGGTTACATTGTTTGCACTAAACAAAGTGATCTTTTATCGAGTTGTAAACTCATATCTATTTTAACAATTAATATTTAGTGTAAATATAATGATGTTACAAAACTTTTGCGCAATGTGTTTTGATCACCATTTGGGAACAGCTGAAGTGAAAACATTGTCACTTCACACATATATACATTTGGCCGGAAATTGTTTGCACATAAAAATATTGGTGGTCACGTGACTATATTTTGTGAATATGGAGGATTTTTTATTAATACAGAGTAAGTACTCTATTAACAGTGAATTGAAATTTATTTAAACTAATCATGATCATTTTTATG